AGGAAACGTAGCCACTATCACATAATTCATAAGTAGAAAACAAATCTCTAAAGGGGGACATGTGATAGGTACAACCAGAGTCAATCAACCATTCATGCTCAGACAGGGAATTTCTCACAGAATTAACATGGTCACAAACCATCAAAATATCACCAAGGTCACATTTATCAACAGCTACACTAGCATGCTCGGTCTTCTTAGGGTGGGGGCAATCCTTAATGAAATGGCCAGTGTTACCACAATTGTAACACACTCTCTTCCTAGATTTGCTCCTCTTCCTCCCAGACTGACCAGTGTTCTTACCCTGACTATTTTGCTTAGAGTTCTTAGACCTACCCTTAGATCTACCTCTAACAAACATAGCCTCACCGGAGTCCCTGGACTGACTATCACTACCCCTAGCATGCTTCAGGTCTAATTCCTTACTCCTTAACCCATTCACAACAATGTCTAACGAAATCTCATCCCTACCATACTTAATAACGGACTTAACATCATTATAAGAGTCGGGAATGACATTAAGTAATACTATGGGAGTATAATCATCTATGTGTTTATCACCTGCCTGTTTGATATTCTGTATCAGTTTATTAAACACATCCAGGTTCTCATCTATATCCTTAGTCAGGTCAAGCCTAAACCTAAAGAATTTCTCTAGTAAGAACAACTTCCCGGGCAAAGAGGTATCAGTATAGAGACTATCCAATTTCTTCCACAACTCCTTAGAGGACTCAAGAATACCCACTTTCCTAAGCACAGAATCAGACAGATTCAAGTAAATAGTAGAATAAGCAGTTTCGTTCATTTCAATTTGCTTAGCCTTATCTTCTGATTCAAGGAAAATACCAGTGACAGCTCTGAAAACTTTTTGCTGTATTAAAACACACTTTATTTTCTGTTTCCAAATATCAAAATCTGTTTTCCCATTAAATGGGAGCATACCATACTGATTCGCAGCCATGGTATCAACCACAAAAGAACACAAAGCTAAACAGACAAAATTGACAGAAAAATAATCCAACCCGGGCTATAAAGTATTCACTTTAATCACCCCGGGCAGCATGCAACACATAGCAAAATGGACATTTTTGGCAATTAAACAGTTCCGGGCAACAATTAAAATTAATTAATTCTACCCCTACCACCCAATAAACCACCCCTACGCATAACAATTAAAATTAAATAACACTTAGTAATTTAATTAATCAACTAAAACAATCACCCACAAAGGAGAGGGTTTAGAACGTACCTGGGGGGTTGGCGGCCGGGATTAAATCAACCGGCGGCCTGCGGGGAGGAAAAAAAATTAAATTAAATTAAAACTGGAATATTGCAAATTGGAAGTTTAAAGAAAACTTACCTTCACGAAACCCTAGGAGAGCGTTTCGACCTTACCTACCCAATTTAAAAAATTGGGATTTTTCTGGGGGGGTTGACTGACTGTTGACCGCGTTGACCGGCGTTGACCGGCAGTTGACCGGCGTTGACCGGCAGTTGACCGGTGGTGACCGACTCCAGCTCCAGGTCCAGTCTCCAGCCCAAGTCAGCAGTCCAGTAGCTCACGTGCAGCAGCCCAGCTCCAGTAGTGCAGGTTCCATCTCCCAGCTCCCAGTTAGCCCAAGAGCAGTCAGGCCCAAATCCAGAAGCAATCTAGCACTCCAACAAATACCAGCCCAGGTTCAGAAGCCCAAAATAGGAACCCAAGACCAAGCCTCTGCGTTCTGCTTTGTATCAGTTTTCTGCGACCCGCGGGGAATGAGCTTCGAGCTTTCTGCGACCCGCTAGGAAAGACGACCAGCGAGATCCCAGTCGACCGGCGGCGAGCTTCCCTACGGCTTCAGCGGTGGTTCGCGTCGACTTGCCAGCCCTCTGGCCAGTGCTCTGCTCCGGTGACGAACAGATAACTCCGGCGTCCAGTAGAAAAACGACGACGCGACCCCAGTGACTTCGATGGCGGAGCTTCCAAGGGTGACTATGGCAGTTTGAAATTCCAGCGAGCTCGATTTCAGTGATAGAAAGTCAGCGAGCTCGTGAACGACCAGCAACTCTAGCGACCACGGCTAGCTTCAATCGGCGGCGGCAGACGGCGGTTCCAGGCTCTGATACCACTGTAAGGATCGTATATCCGTCTCCAGCTCAGGTCTTTCAACACAGACTCTCACATACCACACTAGGAGGAAGCTACAACACAACTCTATTTTTGACTCTCCACTTAGGACCTCTCTCAGCTCTCACACAAAGGAAAGAAGAAGAAGGGAGCACTGCTCTCAATAGAACACTCACGCAGGCTGCTCTCACAAAGAAGGGGAAAGGGTTGACTTATAGTAGGCTGCCAGCCTATGGGCAAACAACAAGGACATTCACGGGATGGCCAAAGGACACTCACGGGTATAGCAAGCCAAGGGCAGGTACTGCAGCGGACAGTCCAAGAGGCCAAAGCCAGGTAAGGAGTCAAAAGGTATATTATTGATCAGGTAATATACCAGGTAAAAGGCACCAAAGTGGGAGTAAAACAATAGGGTGCAAGCCTCAGCAAATAAAGTGGAAGGGAGGCCTTGGTAGGACCAATACCTCCAACACTTGGGGTGCCGAAACTTTGACAAGAAGAATAGGGCCACGAAGGAAGCAATAAAACAGAGAAAATGAGTGAAATTGGAATTGTAAGGATTCCCAAATGGAATATGGGCAGCGTAGTTGGGAGTTTCGGGGCTTTCCGCGACGGCTAAGGGGATCAAATTAATGTTAATACTACTAATATAAAAATAAATTGAGGCCCTCCTAATTTGAGAGGCCCTAGGCAAATGCCTAGCCAAATTGGCCTCATGGCCGGCTCTGCATAATTCTACCTTCTCGCATGTAATATTGCTTAGAGAGCCAAATAGACCCTCTACGACAGTACCCATCTGAATTATTCAATTCGCCTCTGAATTAAAAAAACAATTCACATAATCACTAGGGTGATAAAATGTTCGAAGTTTACTTTTTGCGAGTAATGCTTAAGATAGTCATGTCACTCGATAAGACGTCAACTTTGCATCTGATTTGACAATTTAAAGGGTCAAACAAGTCTCTGAACTCAACCAAATTATTCAACTCGTCATTAACAAGTGTCAAAATTGTAAGAAGATGTTTAGTCGAGTATAAAGATAACAGTTAAATTAGTTGCCTAATCATTAAACACAAACCATAAATATAGTTACATTAAATAAGAAAATGTATTGAACGAAAAAGTTGAATGCTAGTAAAAGGAACTGTACTGATAAATAAAGTTAACTTTAAAGTGAAACTGGATTGAGTATAACATAAAAAAAGAAAGGGAGGTGCTTGGTATTTGATACTATTTGCGTTTGGTGGAATGGAAAGGGGGAGGGCAATATGAGATGAGGTTAAGTGGAGATGTCCAAATTTGTCCTATAAAACCCACACGTACGTTCCGGCCAAACGGATTTCGCTGGATCTTGCCTTGATTTCCCACCAAGCGTAACTTAGAATATAGCCACAATCAACTAACATTATTATAACAACACCAATTATACATAGAAAGATGAATATAGTGCAGATTAAAGTAGATCGGTTTGGAGTTGGTTGCCTGAACTGGACACCTGCGTGTGGACAAAAGCCCAGACATTCCATTTTACTCCATCACTTCCCGGCCAAAGTTTCGCACCATTCCCATCCCTAATTGCATTATACAATTATTATGACACCTTAACCCTATATTCATTATTATTATTTCCCATCCTTAACAACGTAACGCTAGATCTATTGTATTGCAACTTTAATTAATTAATTAATTACTTCATCTTTCCAATACATCATTACCCCCACTAGCCCACTAGGTACGTACGTAGAGCTAGAGTATATCATAAGTATATATATGACCATTAATTAATTTAAAGTCTTGTTAATAATTAAAGTTATCCCCAGGTCAGAGCTTGTATATATTTTAATCTCACTTCAATTAAATCAAGAAGAAATGTAGTAAAAATAAATTCTCTTCGGAATTCCAATCTAATAAAATAAATAAATAACCTTGTTAAATAACTTCAAAAGGTTGACAAAAACACAGATATACCAAAATGATTAATTATTTGTAGATCGAGGAAAGAACAATCAAAGTGAACAACTAAACAAGGCGATTGAAGTAATATGGGATGAGAAAGTAATCATCAATAACTTTAAGTTGGTCAGTCATAATAACACGGAAAGCCAATAACATTTGAAAGCATTTTTATACGGAGTATTTGAATTGACTGATACAAACTTGTACTCCGTAGTATGTTCCAAAGTTATACGACTTCGTATAATTAATGTGTGTGTATATAATTAATTTAATGAGCAAGTTATTAAATACTTGATCATAAATTCATAATATACTACGTATGTTTGTATATATTTATAGACCTTAGCTTGAAGTATAAGAGTAATACGAAAATTTGAAATTATAAGAATACCAATAGCCTATTATTAGGGAGTATGTTTTTAAGTAATACACTAATACTAGTGCATATCGAAATTTCGTTAAAAATTATTGGTAGTACGGAGTATGTAGTTATGAATCTTATGATCATTATTATTGAGTAAAATGATGATGGTCGAGCTATCATCTAGGCCAGGTTATCAAATACTATCTATATCCCGAATTGTTTTGCAATGTCAACGTTTTTCGATCAACTAATGTTAAAGTTAATCTTTCCTATTGATAAATAATTCAATTTTAATAATTAAAATCTATATATTCAGAAGCTACAATAAAATCTCTATAATGTTGTAAAACTCAAATTAAAATTTAATAAGATATTGTTTAACAAAAAATCAAATTTGCAACTCAATTTAAGACAAAGAAAGTAGTACCGAGTATATTGGGTCAAGCCGTCAAATATTAGTAAAAGAGTAGAAATTTCGGAGTGAAAAAGTAATGGAACACTTGGTACGCGGTATGTAATACACTCGTACCACATCTTTGGTAGATGGAAATGAACCAAATTTGGCCTATAAAACCCAAACGTTCCCGGCCAAACTTATATACAGTATTTGGGACTTTCTTTCTTTCCCACCAAGCTAAGCGTAACGTAGAATCATCATATCCATCAATGGATACCCCATCATCATCATCTGAGACCATTATCATGGCTGCCCTCTCAAGTTTATCACCCTCCGTCCTCTTCCATCTCACCCACCACCTCACCGCCATCTTCCGCTACCATAACCGCCGCGTCTCCGCCCTCCTCTCCTCCCCAACCCTCTTCTCCCTCACTCTCCACCACCTCCACACCCTCTCCCTCCACCAAAAATCCCTCCTCATCTCCCGCCACCTCCTCTCAAACCTCTCTCTCTTGGCGTGCCACGCTCAACATCAACACCCCCGCCTGCTCCTCCCGCCTCCGCGCTCCGCCACCTCCATGAATCTCCGCGACATCGACGCCGTCCTTCTTCTCCTCCTCCTCTGCGAGCTCCACCAGAGCGATGGAGAGGCGCTGGACGCCCCTCCATCGCGGTGGCGTGAAGCGCTTTGTCGTCATGCGACGAAGAGCGCGTTAAAGCTGTCCAAAATGGGAGTCTCCACCGTCGAAGTGATAGTCGAGTATGTAGAGCTGGTGGTGAAGTGCATGAACTTTGTGAACGCGATGGGTTGCAGCGGCGGAGGCGATGATAGCGGAAAGGAGGGGAGAGACGTGGCGGCTTCAGTGGCGGCGGTGGTGGCGCTGCCGTCGGTGGAAGTGAGGGATAGGGGGCGGGAGTGCGTGATATGTAAAGAGGAGATGAGGGAAGGAAGAGATGTGTGTGAGTTGCCATGTCAGCATTTGTTTCATTGGATCTGTATTTTGCCTTGGCTTCACAAGAAGAACACGTGCCCCTGTTGCCGGTTTGAGCTTCCCAGCGACGACGTTTCAGGCGAGATCCAACGGCTGTGGCAGATCCTTGCTAAGATGAGCACTTGATCGAGATGCGGCAAAGCTTATTAATATAATTAGCTGTTTTAATATAAACATTCAGCTAGCCTAAAAAATGATCCCTTAATTAATTCCATCACCTGTTTTAATTGGCAGCTTTGTTTGAAATTTAGGAGCTAGTGTCCCCCAACTTTGATTTAGTCAATCGATTCACGACTAAAATTAAACAGCGGCGAAGTTCATAAGTAGGAATGTTCTCAAAATATAACATATTTGGTCCTATATTAAATGCACAAAAGTTCCGTTGATCTTATATTTACGGAGTATTTTTTAGAGTATGCAAAAATCCTAATTAAAGCATACATATGAGATCCTAATTAATGCCAATCTTCCTAGTAAAAAAATATGGCGTACATGAGATCAGATGTGTTTTTTATTTTTGGAGTACTTTTAAAGGATCGGAGGAGGCAACATTATATTCTTGTGCCCGCGAGATCGAGTGCTGAAGTGGACAAAAGGCCAGACATTATTCCCATTCACGCACTCTATTCCATTTTACTCCATCATCTCACACTCTTCACCACACCATGCATGTTTCCCATTTCTTAATTGAATAATATAATTACGAGAAAATTTAGTTAGTATGACTATAACAATGAAAACATTCATGACTAGGACAGTCATGATCGTACTCCCAAAATCACGACCTTATTTTAGGAGGTGCAATAGGCGCTTGGCACCGGAGCCCCCACTGTTGTAGGGGCCTCCAAAAATTTAGAATGTAATATTACTTATAGGTTGATTTTTCTAGATGTTATAAGTTCTTTAATTTGTGTACTTTAAACATCATAAAACTTATATGGCATTGAATTGTCTACTCTATTTGCATTTCATTGTTAAACTTTGAATCTTTTCTGGTTTTAGGAGGCCTCAATTTACCATTTCGAACTGGGGCCTCTAAATTCATTAGACGGCTCTGCCCAAAAGGATCCATTCACTTGTATTTTGGGAAGTTTCAATCAACTTATTCTTTTAATATGATTAAGTAAGTCATATTTGAGGAATAAAACATACTTAATCATATTTTGAACTTTGATTATACTTTAATCACTTTTACTTTATATGTTTACTTTTTCAAAATTTCCTCTTTCCTCTTTTTCTATAACTCAAATTACTTTGTTTAACCATTTGTCTAAAAAATTGTGTCATTTATCCATGGGAACATTCCAATGGGACGGAGGGAGTAGTAGATATTATAGTTCGAGTATAATTTCATAAGTAATTTTGATGAATATACAAGGTAATGAGGTCATTAATGATAACTGTGATGTTACAGGTGTATTATTTTTAATATTCAATGATTATTTTATTATATAAGAGTACTAATTATTATTTCCTCAAAATAGAAATGAGAAATTTTAACACGAACATTAAAAAAAGAAATTAAAAGTTTAAGTTGGAATGAAGAGAAGTTGCGGTCTACCCCCTTTGGTTAATTAGGGTTTCTTCCTCCGCTGCGTCTTCATCGACATAGTGCAGGAGTTTAGGTTAGCCTGCGTAGGCGGGTTATATTCTCGTGTTCAATCGCTCCTAAAGCTTCGACTAGGTATGGCGGTTTGGGAAGGGAGCTCATGGAGTCTATCGTTATTACGATAATTATGCTATTGGCGGGGAAGAAGAGGAGTTGGTTTTCAACGAGGATATCGATGACGATGGTGAGGATAGCGAACGGAGGGTTGGGTTTCCAGCATCCGGTAAAATTATCACGGACAGGATGGTGAAATTCTAGATTTTTAGAGATCTTATGGTTTCATTATGGCACCGGGGAAATGAGTATCAATCAAAGAAATCGGGGATAAAAGGTATATGTTAACTTTTTATCATATTGTGGATATGCAGCGTGTTTTGGAAAATGACCCGTGGTTTTTTGAACAAAGCCTGTTAATTCATAGGGACAGATTTTGTTCAAACAACCACGGATACTTTGTCTGTGGTTATGGATAATGAGAAAACACAGACTCTCACTCAGACAAATTCACAAACACTTTGTGTGACTCATAATTTTACAGCCATTTCAACATGGGGTATTTTGAGTTTGCACCCCATTTTATTGTCTAAATTAGACTTTGCACCCCGTTTTTTGAAATCTTTAGTACTTGCACCCCAACCCCATATGAAAAGACTAAAATGCCCCTCCATTAACAATTTTGTTGGTCTTCAACATATTCTTGATCGAGGGGCATTTTTGTCTTTTCACAAGGGGTTGGGGTGCAAATACTAATGATTTCAAAAACGGGGTGCAAAGTCTAATTTGAACCATTAAATGGGGTGCAACATCTATATTCAAGAACTAAACTAATTTTCATTTGTTAAGACACTATTTAAGAACATATGTTTTTCAAAAGATAAAAAACAAAGCAATAGAACATAAAAAGATATCAACCGGAATGGCTACAAATGCAGGTTTCACACTTCAAACTCAAAGAAAAATAGAGGCAAGGAAGTTGGGTCCTTTTATGTAATTATAACACATAAAAAGAAAATTCACACTGAAAAAGAATAACCTTTGAAACTACATCTCGTAAGCATATGAATCATAGTGTGAGTAAATAAAAAGGAATTCAAGAGCAGGAAGAAAAGTGGTAAGACTGAAGGAGATGAGTAGAGCTGAGCAAAAAAAAAAGGAATGGAAAGATACCTGGATGGTCTCAGCGGCAAGACGGAATGGATGGGAGATAGCGCGCGGTGTGGTTAAGGCGCTGATGAGACGGGAGACCTGCTACAGGATACAAGGGTTTGGATAGAACTTGGAAGCCGCTGAGACTGTGAGAGCAGAAAAGAAGCGGAGGTTATAGAAGAAAAGTAAGATAAGAGAAGTGGCAACAGACCGACGTTATTAACGGAAAATTGAACGGAAAGGTAAATTCATATAAAAGAGTACACAACTCAAAACACAATGTACCAACTCATAAAGCAAATGATTACACCAACACAAATTTCAGCCCTAAAATGCCCTAACCCTGATTGAGGATTATAAGCTTTTAAGATAAAGAAGTGAAAATCACTCATTTGTACCACCAAAATAAAATCCTATATATTTTTTAAAGTGTTAGTTGTAACTTTTTTATTTGTATTCCGATTGTTACAAAATATACATCAAAATTCACAACTTTTTATTATCTTTCATATGGCACCAATATTGAATATTTTTGTTTTTTTAGAAGAACCAATTTTGAATATATATATATATATATATATATATGAGAATAATGGAACAATGTGCTCTCTAAAGAGCTCTAGCAGATATATTTATAGTTTTATACTAGTAGAATTTTAATTTAAAGTACAAGAGTAGTCCTATTATAATTCTATTACACCCCCTCAAGCTGTGCGGGAGAAACAACGCGCAAGTTGTCTTTTAAAAAATGAAAACGCTGACTTGGGAGACTCTTAGTAAAAATATCTGCCAACTGTAAATGAGTAGGAACATGTTGCACGATCAAATCTCCATGAGCAACTCTATCACGAACAAAATGGTAGTCAATCTGAATGTGTTTACTTCGGGCATGCTGAACAGGATTTGCAGTCAAATAGGAAGTTGAAATATTATCACAAAGTAAATGCACCGACTCCTGAATCGGGTATTCAAGCTCGAACAATACAGAGCGAATGTGAAGCGTGTCCTGAACAGTATAAGCAATAGCGCGATATTCAGCCTCTGTGGATGACTTGGACATCGTGGGTTGCTTTTTGGTCTTCCAGGAAATTAAATTAGGACCCAAAAATACTGCAAAACTGGTTGTGGAACGAGAGCTATCAGGACAACCGGCCCAATCCGCATCTGCATAGGCGACAACACACGTGGGCCGATTAGACTGCTGTAGCCATAAACCATGATCCCGCGTTCCCTGCAAGTACCTAAAATTTCTTTTGACTGCAAAAAGATGAGTAGTATGAGGAGCATGCATGAACTGAGACACTAAGTGTACGACATAAGTAATATCTGGCCGTGTCAAAGTTAAATATTGTAATGCACGTACCATGCTGCGATATTCAGTAGATTCTGAAAGCAACTCACCATCAGACAGAGACAGAGTAGTGCGAGAGGCTAACGGAGTGCGAACTGGCTTAACAGTGTGGAGATGAAATCGGGCTAGCAGATCAGAAACATACTTACTCTGAGAAAGAAACAGACCTTTAACATTGCGAGTAGCCTCGATACCCAAGAAATAATGAAGATTACCCAAATCCTTCATGGCAAAATGATTGGAAATAATAGAAATAAAGTGGGTAATGGTAGACTCAGAATTGCCAGTAATAATAATATCATCTACATATAATAATAAATAAATAATATTATTATTCTGGCGATAAATGAATAAAGAGTTGTCAGACTTACTACAAGAAAAATTATGTTGCAGAAGAAAGCTACTAAATCTATGAAACCATGCCCGTGGGGCTCGCTTAAGGCCATAAACAGCCTTGCGCAAATGACACATATGATTAGGAAACTGAGGGTGTGACACCGCACCCGAACGTCCTTGAAAATTCCATTCTTAAATTCAAAGTGATGTATTGAATTTCCAATTTCAAAACAATGGAAGAACGATTAATATTTTATGTAGTACATGATTGAATATTGTATTGTTCGAACCCGTATTCTTTTGTAATTTTCATCATGTAAATTATTGAGATGAGCCTACACATATTGGAGATCAATAATGTGATGTAGGAAGTTGACTTGTTCTAAATAAGTTAGGATGAGTACAAAAAGACATGTTTGACAAAAGATAAAACAATAGAACCCATCTTTCCATTTTTGGAAGTATTGATAGATATTTTGGACCCCAAATTGAATGGGATCATTTGGGAACCATCCCACATGACCTTGGTACCTGCAAGACAAAGGAAAATGGGTGAGACAACAATGTGGGGCGGACTTTTGACTCATGAACTACAACATTACAAAAAGAAATAAAAGAGGAGGTCCACACCATGTTTGATTGCAATCAAATACCCTACCCTTCTTTTTGTGAACCACATGCTCTCTTAGCATGATTGAGGCCTCCTAATACACTCCCCCTACACCCCATTCGAGCTCCCAAGATAAGAGAGAAAGAGAGAGCCACATACTCCAAGGGAGAGGTGAAGAGAGAAGCTGGCCGCAGGACTCGTTTTCCAGAAGATAGGGCTACTTGTTTGACCCATAACTTGAGCTTCACTCGTCCAAATAAGGCGTATAATATACCAAAAGAAAACTCTCAAGACGAGGAATCCGTGAAGGTCTGGTTTGCAGAAATCGG